AGGCTTCTGTATCCAAAGCATCATGGAAATTCACTTCTTCATTATTCTTTTAAATGTTTGGTTATGTAATTGTGGATGTGTTTTTGAATTTACTCATTATTGATGTACTATGGATGTATCAACTTTTGTATACGATTTGGAATCAATGAATGTATGAGGCGTTAAAAAAATCAATAAAAGAAATAATGAAGAATGGAACAATATATATATATATACCCTTAAAAAGACATAAGCATTAAGAGAAGCAATCTTTGATAATTGGTGATTATGTACAAAATGGTACAATTAATAAAATAAAACGAAAAGACACAATTGTAGAATTGTAATCATTGAATAAATTAGTAGTTATACACGGATTAATCAATTAAAAATAAAAAATAAACATAAAGACACAATGGTCCACTCATAGTTTTTATTTTATAGAATTTCAAAGGGTACAACTGAATAGTTGCAATGGTTTAAAAGAATCATAATTCCAACAGTTGCAATGGTCTAATAACCATTAACTCAATATGTGCAATGGTTGGTAAAATAACCATAATCTCTAGATTGTAATGTTTATAGAAATAACCATAAACTCAATAGTTGCAATGATTCACTAAAAAAAAGTAATACTTAAATTTCCAACATTCATTCTCCATTAAAATGTAATCATAAATTCACTATATAAACAACATATATACTAATAACAAACAAAAAGACACAACCATACAATAGCAATCGTTCATAAAATTAGCAGTTATATACGAAAAGATACAATTTAAAAAAATATTTAATGGAAACACACAACAGTTCATTCATATTTTTCACGGAAAGTTATAATCTAAAAAATATAAACGAAAAGACACAACCTTATAATAATAAATTTTCTTAAAAATAACCGTTGTACATGAAAAGGTACGATTAATAAAAATTAATATGAATAGAAAGACACAATGGTTCATTCATAGGTTATCATATTGTTATTTTCTTCACAGATTAAGGTTGTTTTTGTTCTTCCTAGCCTTCTCTTTTGTTTTGAAACTTTTTTTGATTTTTCATTCTTTTTGTTTTTTTTAAACTAAAATATTCATAACTTTCACATAAATTGGCATCTTCATTGCCTTATTTTTCAATTCACATTCAAATCTATTAGTTGTATTATCTACTTTAGAAAGTGCATCTTTAATCCCCATTATAGTTTGGTATATCATGTTTCTTATGTCAAATAAAAAATAGAATTGTCTAATTTTTTATGGATAAGGAGCGGATGGTAGATCCTCCAATTCAAGTTCTTCATTATTCATGGCTGATATTAATGTATATATAACTAAAAAAATCATAAGACAAAATATAATATTGCCTTTTAAGATTAGTGATATAATTGCTAAGAGAATTACCATTTTTTGTTTAGTTCAATTTTTTTGGCTTTTGTTCCAAAAATATTTTCTTGGAGAATGAGCAGATCTTTCATCTTTCATTTCAAGTTTTTCTTATTCATGGCTAACCATCTACTAAAAATCTTTCTTGTAACACCATTTCTGTAACAATTTATGCAAATGAACAATTTTTATATCAAGAAATTTTAAGTTAGTCTGAAGTTTATCAACAATAAATTGATATATAAAGTGTTGTTTTTCAAAGTAAGAGAGCATTATAAGAAAAATTCAATAAAAGAAATAATGAACAAGAAAACAAAATATATATAATCTTGAAATGAAATAAGTATTAAGCGAAACAAGCGTTGATAATCAGCGGCAATGTAAGAAATAGTACAATTAATAAAATAAAATGAAAAGACACAAGCGAAAAATTACAACATTTGAATAAATTAGCAGTTATACATGAAAATGTACAATTAATTAAAATAATAATAAATAGAAAGATACAATGGTCCAATGATTCATTCATAGTGTTTCATATTGTTATTATAATAGTACAATTTCTTACAAATGAACAATATTTTTATTAAGGAATTTTAAGTTAATTTAAATTTTATCAACAATAAATTGATATATAAAGTATTGTTTTCAAAGTAAGAGAGCTTTATAAAATAAGTTCAATAAAATAAATAATGAATAATGAAGCACAATATACAAAATCTTGAAAAGACATAAGTATAAAGAGAAGCAACCGTTACTAATCAATGGTTATGTAAAAAATGATATAATTAATAAAAAAAATTAAAAGACACAATCGTAGAATTGTAACATTTGAATAAATAAGCAGTTATAAATGAAAATGTACAATTAATTTAAATAATTAGAAAGACACATTGATTCAATGGTTCTAACATAGTTTTTTATTTTGTTATTATTAATAGATTTGAATGATATAAAGTTGAATTTCTCAATGTGAGTGTGATACATAAAATAATTATAACTCACCAGATCAAATATATGTCATTGTTAATTTAAATTGTGATATGTGTAAATGTAATAATATAAATTTTGCAAGAAAATAGAAAAAGTGAAACTAAACAGTGTTTTTAAGAAAATAGAAACTAATAAAATAAAATAAAATTATCATAAAAAATAGAAAATACAAAAAATAATGCTAATTATTACATCTATATAGGATCTATAATATATCAGTTAGGAATTATTGATCTTAAGTTATATAATATTTAAAATTTAATTTTTGAATTGTTTCATTCATTTAGAGAGATTTCTGGGTTGGATAATTTGATGAATTTTAAAAACATAATTAATTTCTAGATTATTAAATAAGTGTTTTATTTTAAAACTAACATTATATAGGTCATAAATATGCAGATTGAAAGTCAAATATTTTTTTTATTTCACTCGTGTATCATGCGAAATCTAATCTACTTTGTAATAAAGGATTTAATGTTTAAAATTTTATTAAATACAACTTGTTTTATATAAGATTAAATTAAATGTTTGTGGGCAACATGTATTGCTAAATGTGAAAACAATCGAAGATAACTACCGCAAATGGATATTTAAATTGAAAACTTAAAAACTAATGTTTATTAAATTTTATGTTATTCATCTTATCTCATCATCATCGACTATTTTGTTTTTGTGTACTCTAATAAAAACAAGAATCGATTGGTTATTATTTCTTAAAAATCTACAGTTTGTGGAATTTATCGTGACTTATTTATAAAATCTGAATTGACAGTTTCTTTAAAAATATAATAGACTGTATCCATATGAGAGACCAACCTGCTTTTAAGCATCCGCTTATGGTGTTCTACAGAATGAAAAAAGTAAAGTTCGTATGTATATCAACATTACACAGTTTAAACATTGTTGGTTTTAGGCTCTAACATTAGTTATAGCTGACATATGTATATCCATATCAGTATTAAAGTTGAATTGTCAAAGTATAAGTGAGTTATTGGGAGGTTGATTTATGAAAATTTTTAGAGTTTAAGATTTTATAGCTATTGGTTTATGAAATTTTACATTCTTAATAGATTTCACTGTTATTCGTAAATACATTATAATATTATTTAAAAATTCATTGTTATTGGTTTGATGATTTTTATAATCTAATCAAAATTTATTGTTATTCAAAAAGTTTATATTTTAATGATTCTATAATTCTATTAAAATATAGTGTTATTGGGATAAATATTCTTTACAATTTAACTCATAAATCATAATTTTCAAAATACTACCTATATCCTTTGAATTCTCAAAATCTGTCAAAACAAATATATTTTTATAATGGCAAAATCTTCTTACCTTCTTTGAAACAACATTCTCTTACTTCAATTAGAAATTGACACTATGTTAAATTAACAACCAAGAAGGCACAATGTGTCCCACCCACACTGTTTTCACAAAGAAGAAACAAAAACATTAGACGAATTTCGACTTAATAGCGGGTCAGTTTTACATCTTGTCGAGATATTCTCTCGTTGCATTATAATAAAACAAAAATTTTTAAATAATATCCAGTTATTAACTAATTGTCAGAATAGTACAATTTTTGGAAAAAATATTAAATAGTCATTTTCAGAATGTTTTTTAAAGGATTTAGAATTGAGGATTCGACTGTTTAGGATCTAGGATTTAGATTTAAAGGTGTAGGGTTTAGGACAAAACCCATCAAACTTTCTCAAAAACTATTTTTGTAATTTTCTCAACCATTGTACTATTGTGACAATTAGGTTCTCACTTTATATCTATTATTATAACTCTTTTTTACTTTTTATTCAACTTAAATTTTTTCACGTACTAGTAATTTTGTTGTTTTATGATTTGATTATTCCATTTCTTTGCTATTCAACTAACCTACTAGTCATAACTATAATTTTTACTTGCTATCAATTGTTTTTTCATGCCTTTGTTTTGCTTATGTTTTGCTTATGTTTCATAATTTAAAAAAACTTAGTTTTTTTAAATTATAAAGTCTTAGTATTACTCCTATAACATATTAAAAGAACACAGATTTTGTGAAAAAGGAGATTTGACCATTTTCTAAACTTTTTTATTGTGATTATTGACATCTAAAATATATTTTAAAATACTAAAGAAAAACTATTTGACCAAAATAATCAAAGAATAAGAAAAACATAATTAAACAATAAAAGCGAGATGGTACCCTTCTATTGAATCTACTTATGGATAAAAGTTAGATGCGGTTGATGGCTGGTCATATCGATACAGAAGAAAAAGTTCTAATATCGATTCAACAAGTGCTGTACTTATGGGAAAGCGATAGAGAAAGAGAAAAAAAACGAAGATTTCACATAGTGATTTTGACCTGCTTACTTCTCCACTGACCCACTTCTCATTCTATTTGTGGGAATTTGATTGCAGAGTTGATCGTTTGGACATTTCAATTCATAGATGTGGATCTCAGACCAGGATCAAGGGGGTAATAAAAAAATATAAAGTTAAATGATAGACAGAGAACAAAAAAAGTAATTAACTGTGATCAGTAAATAAGGATCTGGAAAATAAAAGGGGAGGTTACTACGAAGTGTCACATATGAGGCATCTAGGCCGAGATACACGATCGTTGAAAATTATATGTAGAGTATCCTAGACATCGTCATTTGTAGCCACGATTCCTGGCTTGATATTAGCAAACTCTCCAACCACACAATCAATATGACAAACAACCCCGCAATCTTCACATGTGTAAAACCATTCTACTGAATCTATTATGGTTTCACAAATCTCACACCAATAAGTACCACTACTTTCATACTGACCATTACGCAAGAATAGAAAATGGTCATCGCACTTGTGCTTTTTCCTTTTCGGTAGGGTAGCACACCAGAAGTCCAAGGTAAACTTGCACTCGACACAATGCAACACACTATTGTTGGACTCTTTACAAGCCCCACACGTACCTTTGTCTAGAGTGGTGAGGAATAAGGAATGAGGATGACAGTGAAGATCAGTGAACCTTGAGAGTGTCGCACACAACACATCTAGTAGTCCTGAACGATCAGGACATATATATACAAAACCATTTGTTACTCTCCAACAAGCATCACATCGAAAGTAACCCAAATTTGGCTTCTCGGTATGCAGAGAAAGTGGCTTTATGAAGAGTCCATGTCGTTTACGACGAGGAAAATTAGCACACTTCTCGTGAAGAACAAAGTTGCATTTCATACAACTGTAGTGCTTCCCGGAATAGATTACACGTGTGCAAGCTTCACAGCGGATGCTTTCACCACCATTAGTTATAATAGCATCTTCAATAAGTCTCAAGTTATGATGTTTGTGAGAGAAATGGTTTATTACCCCAACTTTAATCACTTCGAACGGTTTAATGTCTAAAACTTCTTCGGGCACCCCTTCAAGTTCTCGTCCATTCCACACATCTTTTCTAGTCGCACATCTTGAATGAACTGCATAGGAAGGACATATCTTGCAAGTGTAAGAACCATGCCGCCAGTTGACCTCTTTTTGACAAATCTCACATATCCAATTCCCGAAAACAAGAGAATTGGTGTGAGCGATGCGATGTTCGTGGCGGTTGATGTTTATCACATGCGGTCGATTGATACAATCTCGATGGAATGTGAGAAAACAAGGAGTACAAACGTAAGGGCTTGCATCGCCACACGTACCACAAGCATTACATGTGAAGGAGATGGGACCGACTAATAGTGACAGTGTGTGCTCATGGCACTTCGAGGCATTCACCGTTAGCTGTGGGCGTTTCTTGGCACACTGCACATCCAGGCTGAAATCGCATAGTGAACAATGGTAAACAATGTTCACTTTCTGCTGACAAAGGTTGCATTTCCCATTGGAATATATAGGAGGCCCATCAAGAAGAAGCATAAGTGGATGGCTCGGGTGACATGGGTGGACAATTTTCTCTGATAACCTTGGAGCAGACGTACTAGACAACAGGCAGTTGCATCCATAAACTCCCTCATTCATGTGTTTCGTGCACTCATTGCTACTGAAACTGGAACCAGAAGTACTTCGGTGAATTTTCCATAATTTTTTCGATGAGTGATGTTTCTTAGACCTCATTTCCATAAGACGGTAGACGGAAGTTTTATCAAAGAATGGTTGTTGACAATGAAGAAGAAGGATTACATAAATATGTTAATGGTTTGATCCAAAAAGAAAGGATATGTAAATGCAAGTGAGTTTCACTTTTTAAATAAATATCTTCTCACAATATTTGATGTACGTTCTAATAAAATACTGAAACAAGTTGATCATTTTAGCTGTAAATAATTAAGCAAAGTCGTTGAGTCTTTTTTAAAGGATTAATCAAAAAAGTCCGCTGTTTAACACTATACATGAATCTAGTTGCATATAAGTCAACTATAATTATTTAATTTGCACATGCCACCAGTAATTATATATCATTTTCTATAACTTTTTGTCGATATCTTTCTTGAATTTTTCTTCCCTTAACATGATATGTAGATCAAGGACCTGCATATTACTAAGTTAATCCATCCTTTAGTCATAAAGTCATCTCTGAGACATTGTAGCATAAATTATCACATATTCACGCTAAACTATTCCAGACTTTGATTGTTTCGATAAAAGATTATGTAAATTGTATCTTTCTTTTTCCTTTGGAAAAGGTCGTCTCAAGTTTGCATCTACTATATTTAGAGGGTTGACTAGACGTCTAGACCCTTTCAATCTACTATTCTCAAACTATTTCTCTTTAGATTATTTACCTTAACCTTATACTACCCAAATCATTTTAATTGCTAAACTAATTCTACATATACAATTAAATTTGTTAAATTGCGTTTTAATAACGCTATGTTCGAGACATGAGTCGATGTAAAACCTACAAAAAAATTGATTAAATTAAAGTATATCAAGTATTTAATATTTAAAAAATTGAAAAACATGTACCAATATGTGTTTGGTGGTCGAGATGGCGCCAAACGATGTAACTCTGCCTGCCCCGGTTGGAGGAGAAGATCTTCAACCGTGTAGCAAGCATAAGGATGCGCTGGTCGTGGTTTGGGTGACAGCGGTGGGGATGGTGGAGGTGGTGGGTGTGGTGCGGATTGGACTCCCATGTCGGGAATCTATGTGCCTCCTGTAGACAACGAGATCTCGGTGGCAGCTGTGGCACTCGTCCTGGACGTCTCATCACTCATAAAGTGATATAGTGACGGAAGCACGACATCTATTAAAAAAATATCAAATTAGTTTTGTATATTTAATTCCGTTCCTATCTAATTCTGTTCTTAATTAAATCAATTATCTAATTAGTAAAACATATATAAATTAATATAAAAAGATTTAATTAAAAAGCTTACCTTTTTTTGCTAGAGAGAAAGAAGAGCAGCAAAGGAGATAGAAGTGCTAGAGAGAGAAGGAGAATGGGAGGAATGAGCGACGACAAAGGAGGGAAGGATGGTGATCCTATATATAGATTTTATATTCCATGAATTTTTGCTGTCTTTGGTTCTTCTTTGCACGTTCAACACTGTATGCATGATGTTATTAAAAAAATTTTTCTCAATAAACATCAATATTGTGTCTCAGCAGATGATCTTTCCAGAACCGCAATTCCCAAAATATATTTTTATTGTGCCGATTATGATGAACCACATATCCATCAGGTATATTCGCTGAAGTGTACTAGTTTCCCCCTCGAGGGACCGTTTCAAGTCCCCGCCAACGATCTATTTGTTCTTCAAGATCTTCCTCTGTAAGGTACACTAGTGGAGGAGACGAACAACTTTGTTCTTCTTAAACAATCGCTTGTTTCTTCCATATTGATTGTTGGGTGGTAGAAAACAGCGGTGACAATCAAACCAATGTGTTTTCCGACCATGTTTAAGCTGAAATGCATCGGTCCTATCGGCACAATAAAGAAAAGATAACCTCTTGTGTGTAGTCCAACCTGATAGCATTTCATATGCAAGGAAGTCGCTTATTGTCCACATAAGCACCGCTCACATTGTAAAGTTTTTTCCCCACGAACTGTCATATGTTCTAACTCAGTCATACAACAACTGGTTCAACTCATGCATGAGTGGCTGCAAAAACACATCAAGGGCCCGCTTCGGGTGATTTGGACCAGGGACTAAGATACTGAGAAACAAAATTCTTTTTGCATGCACATATCTAGGCTAAAGAATATTGCCTACCAGATATACCGAATGGACTAAACCCATCAGTGCAAAGACCAAAATAGATATTCTGCTTAGATTTAGCAAAGTCTGGATGTATGGTGTTAAAGTGTTTGCACGATTTCCCATCGGAAGGATGAGTCATTTTCCAATCTGTTTGTGAATGTTCTAAATGACACCTCATCGATGCAGTTGTCCTTTCAGATTGATAAAGTCTTTTTAACCTATCAGTTATAGGAAGATAACCGTTGGTAAGGCATCTTTTTATACCCAAAAGTTTGCGGCTTATATCTCGGTTTTTGGCAAAAATGACATTTCTGCAGCTTATCAACATCTCTCCAGAAAAAACATACAATTATCAACACATACATCAATTATCTCAGAAGGAAATACAAGACTAAAAACCAACTTTTGTATTTCATAGTATGTTTCGGTGGCCAAATTATCCTACGGCAAACTCTTTAATAATATCAGCCCAATCATCCATGCAAACTTCTGTTAGATTGTGATTAGTCTTAATTGTCATCATCGTAGCTGCTAATGACAATTTAGATATCACTTCTCTACATCCATCGTAGAGAGGATGTTTTGCAGCATTTAACATATCATTACAGCGTTTTGCATCTACATTGGGTTCTTCAACAATATCAGCATGCGTTTCATGAAATGCATCAGTAACCATATCATGCATCCTATCATGATCTTGACCCTCAAATTGATGCTCACTACTCTGATAATCATTTGATGTTTCAAAATCTCTATGTTCTTGATGATTACTACTACTACTACTACTACCAGCACTATTTCCACCAGCATTCCGACCACTATTTTGACAATAACCCTCTCCATGTTGATAACAAATAAAATATTGCGGCATAAACCCTCTATGAAATAAATGCCTCCACACTGTGTCAATAAGAATATGTTTCCTATTCTTGCATTTCAGACAAGGATAATACTTACCACTTTCTATAGTGTTTGCATAAGGTCGGCGTGATACACGAATATTTTCAACCCGTTCTTGAAGTCTTCGATCAACGCTGCCTCTGAATCTTTGGGCATATACATCCACTTTCGTAAATTGTTTATAGATATTTAAAAAAAAAAATATATATATATATATATACAGTAAAACCTCTATAAATTAATAATGTTGGGACCATGAAATTTTATTAATTTATCGTGATATTAATTTATCTATAAATTAATAATTATTAATTTATAGAGATAATTTGGTTTTCGCCTATAATTTTCTAAAAAAAATTTGAATAATGTTTTATTTAAGAATTTAAGCGAATATCTTATTAAAAATTATAATTAATAAACATAGTTATAATAACAAAATAGTTTTTAACAGCATATTAATTTGTCTATTAAAAATATACATGTTTAAAAGTTCAATATTTATAAGAAACCATAGCTATTATCAAAAAGATGAAATTGAAGACAATACTACAATACATTTGTAAACATTTATATGTAAGAAAATCAATTATCACATGGAATTTTTTTTCAAAAATTTGAATGTATGCCGAAAAACAACAATAAAATGCAGAGATATAATAAGTAAAAAGATGAACACCAATGAAATTTCAATTTTAAGTAAAAACAAATACATTAATCATATTTTAGTACTCCCTCCGTTTCACAAAGAGTGTCGTTTTAAGGTTTTATTTTTGTTTCACAAAGAGTGTCGTTTTATATTTTCAATGCAAAATTTTAAATAATATTCCAGTTTTAACCCTATTAATTTAATGTATTTATTAGATAAAAACAAGTTATTTAATGTATTAATAAGGGATAAAATTGTACTTTTAATAATTTTCTTAATATGTGTGAAAAATGTCAGAATGACACTCTTTATGAAACGGAGGGAGTATATATATTTACATAAATTTATACAATTATTAATTTATGTTTTTGTTGGGACCATATATTTACATAGGGATTTCAAAAAAAGTTATTATCTTATTATCTTATCGAATTTGATAGAATTTTACATTGGTCCGACTTGGGATCACCAAAATTTATTATTTTATAGTGATTATTAATTTATAGAGGTTTTACTGTATATATATATTAACTATTTGTTTTTACTTTGTTCTTGTTTTGAATAAAACAAAGTAAAACTCATAAAAAATATAATCAAAAACTCAAAGACTCAAAAATGTGTCTTTGTATGTTTTTTTTTTGTTTTGGTAGAATTCTGATAGAAGGGAGCGGGTATATATAGAATTATTGTTTGGCTACCAACAAATTTCCATTGAATCTTTACATTGGATTTACATCAAAAATATTTTTATATCGAGTTTACATCAAAATGAAGAGAAAATATGTTCCTCGTAAATTCGATGTAATTTTTACTTCGCACTTGCGACGAAAATATATTACAGCGTCCATTTGTCATAAATTCATCGTAATGGTTGATGAATTTACAATGCCAAATAATTACATAGAATTTACGATGAAATTTGTACTTATTGTATATTCAACGTAAATGCATCGTAAATTTACGATGAAATATATTCGATGTAGAATTTCGGTGGAAATTAGCCTCTTTCTTGTAGTGCTTGTGATGAGGCTTACTGATTGTAATCGATACTCCTTGATCAGCTAATTGTTACCATCGTGGTTCAGGTTGGGTTTTTAAAAACCTGTCAGATTCCATGTTATTCCAATGATCTTCCTTGAATACCTTGGTCTCCTCCGCCTTAACGGCGGAACTTTTTTCTCTATTCTTAGCGCTTTATTTTTCAAAAATGTTTGGTATCAATCACTGACATGTTTCTCGGATTGTTTGGAACTTATCCTTCTTCTCAAATATGGTGGTTAAGCTTTGGAGAATTACAATCTCTTTCTCGACAATAAAGCGGATTGTAGTGGCTTTGTCTATATCTTCTTTCATCATAATCCTTTTTTAGCTAATAGTTTAACGGATAGTTTAACTCATTCCTTAGTGAAAACTAACTCTATTCTTTTGTTTTCTTTTTTAATTGAAATAGTTGCACACACACACAAAAAATTAACTTAATTTTTTTTAGTTATGTGACAAAAATTTGGATGCTAATGTAGGAGTCTCTAAATATGTATGTATATTTAAAAAAAATAATTTACTATTTTATTACTTCTTAATTATTTATATATTTTCTTACTTTTTAATTAGATTTTAATTTTTTATTATTAATTAATATAAATTTTATAGATAATTTTCTTATCTTTAATAATTTTTACAAACAATAATAGAATTTCGAACCTTTCTTAATTTTCAATATTGTGGTGGACCAATGAAAATTTGATACATAATTTCCTTATTCTTTTATATTTGTTTTTTAGCAATAATTCTGAATTTGTAAAGTTTTTTTAATTTTTAATGTTGATGTGGATTAATAAAATTGTCTTTTTAAATCTTTTTTTGACACCCTTAAAAACATATAACTTCAACTAATAGATTTAAAATAGAGAAAGTAACGAAAAGTAGTAAATTGTTGATGAAGACATGGCCCCTAAAGAAATTTTCCAACAATGAAGAACCCACCGAGGACAAGATCAGGACTAAGGAAGCTGAGAAAAGAGTTCAACACTGCTATGGACACCTTGATCAATCAAAGCAGTCTAGAAGACATTGCCAAAGGCATTGGTCAACTTAGCATCGACCAGCCTCTTCTTAATCAAGTAGCAATGGGAATATCCGAGAAGAAGATGCTACTTATTCAAGATGGAGATCAACTAGAGAGGAGCCAAGATTTTGAGGAGCAATAAGACATAAGCATCACGCCTACACCAACAATAGAGTGGCCTCTATTAAAGACACAAGGAGCTCGCATGATCTTCATCATTGAAGCTGCCAACGACTAAGTGTCAAAACGATACCAAGGTGAGTGTTTAAATTATTAAAGTTTTAAAACTCACGAGTTTCCCTCTTCTTTGTTTGCAGGTTTTATTTTAAGTTCTTTAGTTATCTTTGTCTTTTAAATCAAGTCAGAAACTTTAGAGTTGTTCCTTTTTCTTTTATTTAAATTTTAAGAGAGTCTGTCGCAAGTTCTTTCTTTTTTTGAGTCTAGAGTCGACCCTAGAAGGTCAAGGCCGAAGGACTGTTTATAAAGTTCTATATGCGGCATTGTACAACATAACTTTTTACCCTAATCAATAAAGAGCGTATTTTCTTAGAGAGCAGCCGCCTCTTCTCCGAGTTCTTGAACACTGAGGGGATTCCCTTTTGTTCTTGAGTTCATCGACTTATCACAGCCTCTCCATCATCTGTGTGGCGTCACATCGATTCCCCTTGGTTCCTTGTTTCACCGTTCAGACACCAATCTAAGCAAAGAGAGCCTCTCGGCCAGTTGCTTAGGTTCCACCTCTCCACACTCGACCATATCTTCTCTAAGTGAAGAGAGCCTCTCGGCCAATCACTTGGATCCATGCTCACCACCACCTTGATCTTATATCAATTGTGTTTACAAAAACGAAAAAATATGAAAAATTTAAGTACGAAAAAAATAGAAATTATTAAATTAGATAAATGTAAACTATTAAATCAGCCTAGTTGGATCACTATTTCTTAGATTGAAAACCATATAAGATTCATAATATATAAATTAGAAAAATAAAAATTAATAACAAAGATTTGAAATTTGTTGTCAACCCATTAATTCATTTAAAAGGACTGTTTATACTGCATAATATTTATCAATTGAACGTTTTTAACTGTGAAAGTAGAAATATAATTTAAAATTATGTGGATTATCAATTTAGAATCTAAAAATTTAATATTTTATCCAGTAATGTGGAAACTAATCTAATATATATATATATATATCGGGGATAAATACGATCATTTTTACGTGAATGGATCATATGGATACACTTGTCGTCTATGACTTTTATGCATGTACGACTCCATGGCTTAACCTAGGTTTTACTTTGAGCTTACGATCTGAATAACATAGAGTTTTAGGACTGGGCCTTGGATTCTACAGATCCAAGATATCCAACACAAAATCCCATATGTTCTTACATTCTTCGTGTCTTACAGTGTAGGCCACATTGTTAGAAACCAAAATGTCATAAATTGAGTAGTTAGGAGGAGTGAACGGTTATTTTTTCTATGTCGCAGCCAAAGATCAATAATATAGTGAGGTCGGGATCTAGGAAAGTAATCCACACATGTATTAAGAGCAAGGGATACATATGTCGTCTATGACTTTTATGCATGTACAACTCCCTGGCTTAACCTAGGTTTTACTTTGAACCTACGATCTGAATAACATAGGGTTTTAGGATTGGGCATTGGATTCTACAGATCCAAGATATCTAACACAAAATCCCATATATTCCTATGTTCTTTGTGTTTTACAGTGTAGGCCATATTGTTAGAAACCAAAATATCAGAAATTGAGTAGTCAGGAGGAGTGAATGGTTATTTTTTCAATGTCGCAGCCAAAGATCAATAATCTAGAGAGATCAGGATCTAGAAAAGTAATCCACACAGGTATTAAGAGCAAGGAATACACATGTCGTCTATGACTTTTATGCATGTACGACTCCTTGGCTTAATCTAGGCTTTATTTTGAGCTTACGATCTAAATAACATAGAGTTTTAGGATTGGACCTTGGATTCTACAGATCCAAGATATCCAACACAAAATCCCATATGTTCCTACGTTCTTCGTGTTTTACAGTGTAGACCACGTTGTTAGAAACCAAAATATCAGAAAGGAGGAGTGAACAGTTATTTTTTCAATGTCGCAGCCAAAGATCAATAATCTAAAGAGGTTAGGATCTAGGAAAGTAATCCACACAGGTATTAAGAGCAAGGGGTTTACCACAACAAGACTTCTCCGAGCAGTATCAGAAGATCTGGGCCAGTTATGATAAAATCTCTCTCCCCCCTGAGAACTGTTAAAAGCCGGTTCAAATTGGTCTATCACAACTCGGTTCGATAACGAAAGAAAATCGAAGTATACATTGCAGATTCCAGTTTAATGAACTGCTCATTGACATTACATAGGTAAGAGTGAAAAAAAAAGATGAGACAATAAGTTAAAATTTAGATGTGTTAGACTTGACATTTTCAAATGTCATCATTACATAAAAGTCTTCTCTTAATCCTTAGCCGTGTGCAATCAAACCTTGTCGTCATGGAACCACCACCTCGTCTCCTTAGGAGACCTGCCATTCTTACAGTTCTTCACATAACGATCATTATCAGCAGGACGCTCCTGCAATAAGCCGGAAAAACACATAAATATGTTTGTTACTCAGCTCATTATTCACAGTTTTTGGGTCTAACTTTTGGTAAATTGGGAAACACGAAGAAGAAGAAAAAACCTTTGCAGGTGAACTCGATAGCATCGAGAGAATGCTAATGCAGACTGAACTCACCGTCATTGCTGGTGACCATGAGTCATATAGAATATCTGCCAAAAAAAACCACACAACTTTATATCAATCTCACAAAGGAATCACTAATCTCAGTTTACATGCTGAGGGATAAATTAGATTGGAAAGCTCAGAGTTGCATATTTTAAGGTTCGTTTTTGAGGATTTCGATAAGAGTGCAAGTGCAACTTAGATGCAACGAGAACAGATACATGAGCTCAAGCTCAACAGCATATAGTCAGTCAGACATAGGCATAGAATGTACAAAATCATGAATCTAACGAGAGCCCTCTGCGTGTTTAGAGGCTAAAAATCCAGCATATACAATCTAAAACAGACAATTCTACCCCGATTGCACATACACTTATGCTAGATGTTTAAGCAAAAACAAACATGCACGGCTACTATGCATAAGGTATACAATATAGACATTTTCAAATCCAACAACATACACGTGATCAACAACCTTGGGTTATCAATGATTACCAACTTTAGATTCAAACCAAAGCAACTTTCACTTTCTATGACATGTCGAGATTATTCAAATTCTACATTACATATGCATAAAACTAAACTAAACAAGGTATAATAGCATCATTGCACCCTTAGCAGAAAGAACAATTAAACAAACCCTTGATGTGATCAAAAGAAAATATGCAGACAGTAAAATGATACACACATACCTAAACAAATATGTCCATTGCTGTATATATGTGGATGTGACGGTGCCGGAGGAACAAAAACTACCTGCTCAAACAACAGAGACAAATCAGTCATATGCTCCTCCACAAGCAGCAGTAAACAGACATAACTCTCACTAACTCCAACAAAGAGAAACCAAAACACCCAAAAGGAAAACACTTGAATTCAATTAGTTCATAACAAAAGTATCAATTTTTTTTTTTATCAGAGTGAGATTTGTGTAGCTAACCAAACAGAAATGAAGAGAAAAACATGAAACATTTGAGAAAATATCCAGAATCCACCAATGACCACAATATGAAGCCTTAAATCAAATCATATCTTCAAGTGATAGATAGATACTGCAACGAATAACTTCGATTCGATTTCGCGATTACAAATTGAGATGACTTGCCTGCGGCGCTTCCATGGGGTAATTAACGGGAAATTCAACCTGAAGCTGGTAAGTCTCGTTCGCGTAGAGAGTCCCCGGAGCTCCGGTGACATCGATTGTCCATCTTTTAGATCAAACGAAAACGAAATCGATCAGAAAAAAAATACTGAGAAACATTCAAAGAGAGAGGGAGATTAGGGTTTGTTTTTGGGTTTACTTTTGGAGATTATCAGTAACTTTGTGCCTAAATCCAGTGGGAGGATTTAATTGCCACTCGGTAAGCTCTTTCTGCAGCCTATTGCAAGCGATCTTGCTTAACGCCTACGCATCACAACACAATTCAATATGTTTGAGATTAAAGGTTATGTATAAGAAATAGAAACAGATTCGTGGAGAAATCGAAGACATGCGAGAGAGAGACCTTGCGTGAAGGAGCGGAAGAGCTGGTCATGGCGGAGAGAGATGGAGAGAGAGAGAAAGAACGAAGGTGTGCTGTCTAGGCTCCTTTACTCTTCTTATTATTATTAATTTTTTTTTTTTTTATCGTTTGCCAATTGCTACATTTGTTTATCTCAAAAATATTAAGGCCCTAAATTTATGTTAGAGGAAAAGCATAATGTAGCTGAATTTTCTTGTTTTTATTACACCATTTGAATTTGTGAATTTTAGGTTGGAAAATAAAGAATAGTAGCACTAAACGATAAACTGAAAAAATTGCATAATACATATAGTAAAATTTAGGTTTTTTTGCAAATAAATTCTCTAATTTATAATGCAGAGATTTTAGAATCTAAACAAATGAATTCATAAAACTGATATAAAATCTAGAAAAGTTATTTTTAATTCATGATTGAATAATACCCCCAAGTAATTTTTATTGATAATTCTACCAATGATTTGTTAAAAATGCAGATCAAACCAACGAAATTCAAATCAACTGGCTATATTATTGGATCAAATTTAATAAAATCTAATAGCATTTTAAAAATTTGTTAAATGTGAAAGGAAATTATCCATTTAAGCTAAGTAAATGAAGTTGCAAAAGTCTCACATGGGAAACAATGGAAGAAGATCTCTTATATAAATAATGACGGACCTTATTTAAGTTCAAAAATTTAGACATATGGAGAGGATGGTACAGACCTCACGCATGCGCCACCGTTGCCGCCGTCAAGCTAGGTCGGGCTGAGCATGAGTCATATTGGTCGAATGGACCTTCGAGCCAGATGTGATTATCTTTTTTGGGCCAAGTATTGGTTAAAGATCTGTTCTAATTTTTTGTCTCAAAAATAGAATTAATTTGGCTATTTTAAGTGGATCATGAGTCAAAGTCACACTCTGAAAACCTTGCCCGTATCTTGGCCATATCTCGCCTCAGTGCGGAGATCAAGTCCTTATCCGCTCTCGCATGTTCTCCTGTTTTTCTGGTCAAACCTTAGCTATAAAACGAGCCTGAGACCTTCATTTTTCACGCCTCTCACAGAGAAAAAAAACATTCACAAAATCCGTCAATCTCTCTCGTCCTTTTTTTCTACAAAAACATAAGTTTGAGAGTACACGTAGAAATATAAGTTTGTAAATTTTTCAATCGAGTGCTGCATTCGAAAGTGGTTGTATTTTGGGATTCGTTCTCTCGAAAAACTGCCACACTCGATATTTTGAATTAAAATGAGATTATCTCGACTTTACTTCTTCATCTTTTCCTTAATCAATTTTCAAACTTGTTTTACACAAAAACTGTTAGTATTTTAATCCTAGTTTTGTTTCTGCATTTTAGCGTTCTACAGTCTTAATTCAAAATATCAGCTTTATGCTTATCGCTTGAATATGCATTGTGAAAAAATTTTAATACGATTTTCTAAAAACAATTTCTTAAGTCTCGAAAACGCATTATGCAAATGCTCTACAAAGAAATCGCTGATCATTTCAGAAAAAAACGAAATTCATCAAGAGTAATGGTTTCTGCAAAAGCCACTAGCAAGTTACGCAAAACATTTCCTGTTATAAGATCAACACTATTTATGGTAATGTGTTATAGGGACTTCCCTATAAGTTTTTTCTTTAGTTAACAAATACTCAAAGCGATTCTGGAAACGTTTTATAGCGATCTCCACAGAACACAATACTTAGCGATTTATACATGTTAAACGTTATTTCTTTATCAGTTCTGCCATATGACTAATTTTCTGTCTTTTCTGAGCAGATGTCGAACAACGTTGAAAAATCCTTGCATGGAGTAAATGATGAAACGCGCGAGTCGACACCTAAACATGGTCTGCCACTCGAATCCCTACCAACAAATGTCTCGTTCATGCCTAGCGCTGTAGCCACAAGATTACACCGGACTTCAAAACAGTGGCAGCAAAAGACACCATATCATATAAATATAAGACAAAAGTCCAATTTATTTTTCTTCTTATGCGAGAAAGTCCAAATATTTTGATAAGTTATGTATTTATACTATTATTTGTGAAGTCAAACATCTTATGTGTCGTTCTTAGAATAATTCTATATGTATTTTTGTGCTGACATGTCATGTATTTATTTTTTGTCCTATGTGGTATTTTTGTCGAGTTTAATTGGTCGTTCAGTAATCATATGTATACTTCAAGCCTGTTTCATTTGGGTTACAGAGAACGAAGATAAACTCATCCATAAAAATAATGTATAAAATAATAATTAATTTAGATTTGAAAATTAACATGATATCAAAGCTAACAAAGGAATTATTTACCTACGCTCCAATATAATAGTTTTGTGTTCACGCTTGGATGAAAGATAAAAACCAACAAGAATAAGAGACAATTTCAACAAAAGAGTGAGACATTTCCGACTCAAAAGAATGAGGAATTACAAAAATTAATGTATACAAATAATGATTATTTTAAAGATGAAGTTTACTGTATCAAAACTACCAAAGAGATTGTTTAATTACCTGCACTCTAATATCAAAGTTTTGTGTCTGTGCTTGCATAAAAGATAAGTATCGACAATGAAAGATAATTCCCAAGAGAAATTTCTGGAGAACAAAGAACTAAAATTATCTTTAAACATAATGTATATATATAGTGACAAAGTCAGAGATGAAACTAAAAATGGTAACGGAGCTAGCAAAAAAGATTGGTTCATTATATACGGTTGGATAAAATTGTTTCATGTCCACACTTACAAAAAAAGATAAGAATTGACAAGGAGAGTCAATGCCACCAAAACAAAAAAAAATTTAAGGTTAAAGAATGAATAAATAAAATAATATGTAAACTTAATTTATACAAATAATGATTACTTTAGAGATGAAACTTAACATGGTATCAAAAGTCAAAACTACCCACAAGAATTGTTTACATACACTATAATATTTTTGTTTTATGCATGTGTTTGCGTGAAAGAAAAAAACCAATAAGACAAAGAAACAATTCCGATAAAGGGGGAAAGAGTTGTGGCTAAGAAGAATGAAAAATTAAAGGTAACATCGAAGAAAGAACTCAAAATTTCTAACTATAAATCCAAAAATGGAAGTTACAGTAGAAGATTCTGAATGTTGTATATCTTATATAATTAATTGACAATGACACTTAAAAACATATTTGTCCCATGTATTATTTACATGAGTACCATGCTAAGGGGTCAATCTCAAAGATCTTCTCAGAGATTTTCTTAAAGTAAACTCAACTTACTAGATTGATTATATCATATCATATGTTATTAACATTAATTTGGTTAGAGATTAGTTTATATCAATTATATATTTAATACTCAAACATGTAATTTATAAATATATGTTTTTTCTTTATATTTCTTATCAACATATTTATAAAAATTTAATACATAATATTACTTATATTACTAAACATAATATTTCTTATATCATCTTTTTTTATCTTAATTTTTTTTTTAAAATGAACACATTATCCATTTAATAATAAGAAAATCTAAATATTTTCATACATATTATAATTTAAAATTTTTATATTAAAAACAAAGTATCTTAATCTGATGTTGGATTAGTTAGATAGAATTATTAATCTAATTTAGTATATTTAGTGTGCAATTTCATTCATATTAAAATTACTATTAAAATTAATTATAAAACTAGTAATTATCTAGGATTTTTGTAATTGTATTACAAAATAAATCTAACTTTAATTATTATATATAATTACATAATCAACACATATATTTTTAATTATAAATATCAGTTACTATTTCTATAGTTGTATTTATATATATTATATTTGCATATTTAAATTTAAAAAATATGGTTGATATTAACTCCGCATATAATGCGAATAATCATCTAGTAAAAAACTGTTTTATAATATTTTTTAAATCGATTTTTTGTTTTATTTTAATTCCTTTTATGGTTTTGATACAATAATTAGTTTTAATTAATATTTTAATGAATATTTATTATTAATTTTAATGTATTTTTGTTTGTGGTTATTTAAAGAAACCTATTTGTCTGTGCAAGTTATAGATCAAACACCTAGTTTGATATTATAAGCGATAGTTGAATATTTTAAATGATATAATATGCAAATATTGCATCAAAAACTTTTAAATAATTTTGATATTGTATTCACACAATAAATTTTTAAAGCCATGTACAATGATTTTTTTTATCAACATCTACTTTACACTCCACATCATATCTTCTTTCTTCCACATCATCTTCTTTCTCTTCCACTTATTAATTCAACACCCACTCAATTTTCATCATCGACAATACTTTTGTTTGATAAAATTCCACACCATACCCCACTATTTTTATTTTATATTTTATTTTCTTTTATATTTCAGTTTTTATGATTAGTAATAAACATATTAGTAATAACAATTATTTTTTGAAATTAAGTTAAAATAAATAGGAGTTTACTAATTTTTAAAAATATTGTTTCTGTTTTTTCTTTCTTTTTTTATATGTTTTTTTTAATATGCAATTAAAATACAAATAATAATAAAGACTATAAATAAAAAGTTATTATTAAAAAAAAAATTACAAAGAACTTTAAATGCAATACAATACAATGATTAACACAATACATAACTTATTTAGTACAGCATATTCAACTCACAAACTTAAAAATCTTTTTAATCACGAAACATTCTGAATCTTGCCCATATGTGTTTGACTAGACTGCTTGTAATTCATGATGTACATTTGAATCACGCATCTCGGATCTAGCACGCACATGATTTGCAAATGCAGATAGCACCTCGGTCGAGAATGGTTGCGGTGTACTAGATCCACTTGCCTCAGATTGATCATAATCGGTCCAGTGTTGAGTATATGTATCTCGTTCATCCTCAACAGTCATATTATGTAATATGATACATGACCTCATAATGATAGCCAAATCTGTTATGTCCCACATGCGAGCTGGTTCACGAATGATTTTAAATCGAGCCTGCAACACTCCAAATGCACGTTCGATGTCCTTCCAACATCCCTTTTGAACTTGTGCAAATAACTTGTCTGATTCACTTTGAAGAAGCCTAATCGATTTGACAAAAGTAGGATAAGAAGGATAAATACCGTCAGCTAGATAGTATGTCATATTATATGGACGTTGGTTCACGAAGAAGTTCAGTTTTGGAGTATTTTTCCCTGTTCAACATCATCAAACACTGGTGAACGATCTAAAACATTTATATCATTCAATCTGCGCGCCTGGACATCCAAAAAAGGCATGCCAGATGCATAGATAATAAGATGCAACTGCTTCAAGGATAACCGTGGTGGTTCCCTTATCTCCTCGAGTAAAATTGTCCTTCCCACGGTGTAGGATAATTTTTCTATTCCAGTGCATGCAATCAATACTCCCAATCATCTCTGGTAACCCTCTCATTTCACTAACATGCAAAATTATGTGCACGTCTTCTTGAGTTGGGGCTTTGAGATACACTGGCTCGTACAGTTGTATGATTCCCTTACAGAATCAACGCAAGCCCTCCAAAGATGTAGTACCTCCAATCTTGATGAATTCATCCACCGCGTCGGCCACCATACCATAGGCTAACATTCACATGGATGTGGTACATTTTGCTAATGGAGATATACATTCTTTCTTGGCTGCGTCAAATCGTTGTGTGAATTAGTTGTCACTACTTGATAGGTCTTAAACGATCAGAAGGAATTTTCGCATCCGGAATCGCCGACGAAACATTGCATTGTCATAATGTAGGTTGATTGGCAAAGTAGTCGTCAATCAGCCTTTGATTTGCTGCTGCATGATCTCTCTTGAAGTATTTTCTCTTGAGACGAGGTGGATAGTCTTCCTCTATTTTCTTTCGACGCTCCCTAAACCGGCTGACGATATAATTCTCTTTAATTTCAGACTGCCTTTTGTACGCTTCAACATCAAAAGGATATTGTGGTGGATCCATTGAAAATTTTCAAGTAAGGTGAGATTTGTGGTGTTGATCCATCAATGGATGAATGAATTCCCATTTATAAGAAAAAGGAAACAACGGTTGAGTGGTTAGAGGATAAAATGATAAGATTCTCCCATTATTAAAGCATAACATGACAAAGACATAAAATGACAAACAAGCATATTTAGAAGAAAATGACAAACAAACATTATTAAAGGAGAAAGTGACAAACATACATTAATAAAGGAGAAAGAAACAAACAAGCATTATTGAAGAAGAAAGTGACAAACATTATTGCAGCATGGAGTGACATGACACAGACAATCACTTGTGACAACAATTACTTTCCGAATAAGTCGTAGCTCAACTTCTGCAACAGCTCTTTACTCTGGTCATCCAGATGCTCCTTTTCACTTAGCTTCAGCCACATCTTCATCTTCCTAGCCTGAGTTTTTTCTTTCATCAATTGGTTTTTCTCCTTTTGCCTTTGGTTTGCCTCCTCTTGCAAGTAGGCTATTTTGTTTAACCGCTCCAACTCTTGCACCTTGCATTGTTTGAATTCATTCCATTCTTCGTTGACCGCTTCTAAGGCTGCACCCTTACCTTTTTTTTAGCCTTTTTCTTAGGTGCATCCCTCCCTATTAGACGAGCGATAATACCTAAAAAGTTGGAGTCACTAGCATCACTCTCGGGGGATCTCTTAGATCCACTACTTCCAGAGCCAGTATTTCCTACTACCTGACTATTATAACGTAGTTGATCACGGACAACGAGCCATTCCTTCATTAAATTGAAATTTCCATTTCCAGCACTTGAATATAGTTCATGCGCTTTCGCCAGTACATCATATTTCGCCCACCCGCTTTGTTGCATACATTTATCGTTATCGTAAGCACCAAACCCATTAGGCCAATATTTTGTTGATGTAGTTGTAATGATTTCTGCATGAGTTTCCATCATGCGGAGGATCAAAAGAGCATTGTTCATTACAATACTCTGTAATTTTACCCCAATATGAATCACTTTTTTGGCTTCTGCCAACAATGTTGTCCGTTCCATATTTGATCCACCCACTCAATAACACCAAATTTTCCTCACTGGTCTATTTGGCGCTTCTCCGGCGAGAAGGAGTAGCATCATCTGCATCTGGAGTGGCTTCATGAACACTACTCATACCACCATAAGCTATTTGTGTAGAAAATTCAGGAAATTCGGTTGGAGTAGAAGAATAAGGAGGTGCTTGAGATGGATTTGGCATCATTGGTATATAATATGGAGGATAGTTCAGAACAGCTGACGGCATGTAAAAATTTGGTGGATAGCCATAGTTGGGTATATGTTGGGATTGGTTAGAAGATTGATTTTGAAACTGATAATTGTTGAGATTTGGGTAGTTAAAAGGATAATTAGAAGAATTTTGGGTGTTAAAAGGGTTATTGTTGAGATCCATGTGACTAAAACGATGTTTAAAGCTAAAACAAAAGTTTAATGGAGGCTAATAGAGAAATTATAGTAGAAAAAACGGTTTTTTTTCTAGTATCCAAATCAAATAAAATAAGTGTCTATTTATAGAGTATGAAAAATGAATTTTTTTAATATAAATATTTATAATTATTATAAAATAATGGATGTTAAATAAGTGAGATGAAAAAAAAAATCCAGAATTTTGACATCTAATGAAAATATAACACTTGCTCCACTAATAATCCAGAATCTGTTAACCCAATACTAATATGACACATAGCAGGCCTTTTTCACTAGTGCTATTGAAAAATTACAAAACCAAATTTGCCACATTGGATTCAACAGATTATTACAACAACTATTGCACCGTTACAACTGAAAAAAGTTGTTGGTATTACCATTAAAATTTAACTGATTCGCTATGAATTTTCGCTGAAAATAACCGGTTTGAAATCGCGAAATCCATCTTTTACGCGACGACGAGGCTTTCGAAATCCAGAGCCGATGTTGGGATCGATTTAGAATCCGATGATTCCTCTGTGACATCAACCGTTGGCTCAACTGATAAATCTGGTATACTCTGTACTTTGATCCCTTATTCACCTTCTTACTTTGCCTCTGCTATTTTTCTCGTCAGAAAAAATAATGATGCATCTAAAAAAATCACCATTTATACTCTATTGAAAAAAAAAAACAGAACATAGCATAAGATAAAGATACAACTAACGTAAAGAAAATGCTTCGATACAATACCAACAATTACTTGAAAGACATTGAAGGATATTAACGGTTTCTGCACTTAGCTGGACCAATAAACTTGACCAACCACTCTGGTTTGTATGAAACAATGACTTGTGCTATTGCCAATCCAAGCAACACTCCAAGTCCATACCCTATTGCCACTGCTTTCCAACTTAACACTTGTTCCTCTTCTTCGTCTTCTTCCTCAGGTTGTCATTCTGTTGGTGGCACAGTAGTCCCAAAGCAACTTTCTTGGAGAGGAAAACCGCAGAGCCCTGCATTCCCTTCAAAAGAAGATTCAGGTAGCCCGGTGATCTGTGTTCCTTGTGGTATTTCACCCTTGAGTTGGTTGTGAGAGACATTTATGTACGCCAGAAAGAAGACTGTCTTGAGTCCATTAGGGATTGTGATACACGTTTCGGTATCGTCTACAACCGACGTGAGAAAGAGAAAGTTGACTGAGTTTGATAAGTTTTCCTTTTTTACTTAGAATTAAGTTTTGGTGTTTTTCCTTTTCAAAGTTTTAAAGTTTTCCATACTTTGCATTAGTCGGTTGTAGCAAAGCCTATATATAGGTTCTTATAATTAATAAGAGAACTACCTTATAGCAATTAACCTTATTCTAAAAAAGAGACTAGGGTTAAGAGGAAGTTAAGCTTAAGTTTCTAATATTTACAGCAATCATAGAGTCAGGATACCTCGGTCCGATTACTAGAGCTAAAGCGAGATCTTTGGCTCATATCAATTTGGTATCAGAGCCTTCTGATCCAATGGGAGACGACAATTCAAACGCAGGAATTGCAGCACAACTTGCAGCAATTATGGAGATGATGAAAACAATGAATGGACAGTTGGCGACTTTAGCACCGATGCAAACCTCCTTAGCAGCATTGGAAGAGAAGACAACGACCCAGCTGGAAGCATTGGAAGGAACGGTTGCAGCTCAAAAGGAGATGAGCGACCAAGCTCATGAGGCGATTGCACAAATTCGTGAGGAGCAAAAGGTGATTTGAAGTGAACAAACCGCTTTTTTGGAAAAACTCACGTGGGAGGAAACTAAAATAGTCCACATACCCGAGGAGTTCTCTGCGTCTGGAAAAAAGAGCAGATCTACTGGTGTTAAGGGACTGTTGCTGGGAAACAAAAACAGTGGTGTTCACATAGGTGGTGACGAGTTTCACCTCACAATGGGGAAGAAGCACATGGATATGCCAAGCAGTAGTGGTGGTGCAGCGGTATTTATCCAGAAACCAACTCCTTCACGGGGACCATGGCCCATTCGTTCTGTGGGAAGAGAGCGGGGGTCATCGTCGAGTGGCTGGTGGAAGAGATTGGACTGTTCAAGAAATCGGAACCCCCCAACACGATGTCAATCCGAATTATGCAACCGGAGACTTCACTGGGGACTACTTTGACGAACAAAAAGAGGACAGAGGAACCAATTCGAAGAGGTGTGTTATTCTGCCGTCAAAGATGGAATTTTCTCCATACGACAGAACCACAAACGCCGTTGAGTGGTTGCAGAAGTGTGGCGACTACTTTGTTGATCAGAGAGTATTCAATGATGACGCTAGAGTACGACAGGCCACATTTGTTCTCACCGGCCAGGCGTATCATTGATACACTAATTTATGAAGACTCGTCACTTACAAATTGGGATGGGCTGAATTCAAAAAGGTCTGTAAGAGTCGGTTTGGAAGAGCAGACATGGTCAATCTGGTAGGTGAATTGTCGAATCTGCGACATACAGGGACCGTTGATGAGTATTGCAATCAGTTCGAGAAATGTCTTGGTCGACAGACTAAACTTACCAGAGATCAGCAACTATGGCAATTCTGTGCAGGATTAACAGATGTCTTACGCAAAGAGGTGGAGTACCTCTGCCCGGAGACAATTTTCGAAGCAATGGAATATGCTCTGGATAATGAATATAAGATTGAAGGAGACAAGCAAGTTCGCACTTTTGGAGGACATTTGGCACCATCAGTTCGACAGTTTACTCCGACAGCTAAGCCAGGAACTCTATCAAGTCGTGGTGGCCAAGGGACAAAAGACACTGAGCCATCTCCAACTCGACTGGTAGGATCTAAAACAGCTCCTCTGAAGAAGTTTTGGAAGAAACTAACCCGTGCTGAAATGGCTGAGAGGCGTGCACAGGGACTGTGTTTTAATTGTGATGAACTTTATACACCAGATCACATTTCCCAGCTGGTCCTCTTTCACATCATGTCAGTTCTCGATGGAGAAGACCAAGAGGATGAGTCCATCGATGATGAGGACCTAGAGATTTCCTTGCACGCTATGAAAGGAGAGCAGACTCAAACAACATTTCAAGTGTGCGCTACTATAGCTACTGGAACGGGATTGGTATTGCTCGACACTGGGAGTACCCATAATTTTATCAAAAGTAGCTTTTCCGAAAAATTAGGGATTCCAACGAGACGACGACCAGGACGGTCTGTTGCGTTACCGAATGGAGGAAAATGCCCAATCGATGGCTTATGTAAGGGGCTTTCAATGTGCGTACAAGGACACCAGTTCACAGCCGACTGTTTTGCAATTCCACTTACTGGTTTTGATGTCGTGCTCGGGATCCGGTGGTTAAATGCGTTGGGTCGTGTGGTGTGGGATGGATCACTTCATACCATGGAGTTCAACGAAGGCTCCTCTTAGATTGTGCGGCAGGGTGAAACAGCAGCACGCGATTGCGATGGGGTTGTTGTGGTTGTTCTGAATGCGTTCAATACCAATCCTCATCATTTAGAAGATTGGTTCAATTGTGACGAGAAAATTTTAACAACTCCAGTGATGATTAGCACAAGACTGTTAAATTCTGCAGCACTGTGGTCCATTACTTCGGAAAACACTTCAGGTTCGCTTACTTTGTTGTTACAGGAATATAGCAATGTGTTCTCTCAACCCGCCGGCTTACCTCCTAAACGAGATTGCGACCACAGAATCCAACTTATACAGGGAGCTGATCCCGTGACGACCAGGCCTTGCCGATACCCTCACCTACTCAAAGATGAGATTGAGCGACAGTGTGCCGAGATGCTCCGTTCGGAAATTATTCGTCCCAGTAACTCCCCATTTATTTCTCCAGTCCTCCTTGTCAAGAAAGCTGATAATTCCTGGCGGTTTTGCATTGACTTTCGGGAGCTGAATAAGATCTTTGTGAAGGAAAAATTCCCAATTCCGGTGGTTGATGAGTTGCTCGATGAATTACATGGCGCTCGGTTTTTCATAAAATTGGACTTAGCCTCGGGATATCACCAGGTCCGTGTATTTGAAGATATGATGATATCGAAAAAACTGCTGATATGATCATGAAAAGGGCTAAATGCTAAGAAGTTCAAAGAGGCACTTAATGGGCTAATTTATGAAGTTCTGGACAAGAGAAGCATGAAGAAATTCATCCAAGATGTTATATATAGAGTTCAGCCCATTTTAAGAGTGATAGAAGCCCAAGAAGAGCCCAAAATCATCACTTTATTTTTCTGGTCAAAGGAAGTGACGAAAATGAAGTGAAGAGTCACAAATGAGGAGGAGTCAAGAAGGCAAAGAGTTTTTCAACTGTATTTATTTCCTTTCATGTAGTTTTTAGTCTTCTTCTATTTTCGAGAACATTTAATATTTAGCTTTCTTTACAAGCTTTCTATTCCTATAAATAAGTGTAATCTCTTTTTGGAATAATAAGACTTGATTCATTACTTTTGGAACCTTTTGAGAGTGATTCTCATTTTTTTGATCTTATGGAGATTATCCATTGATCAACCCGGTTTATCAAGTTCAGTCCATAGAACTTGACGCAGCCTTCGTTTGCAGAGTTTGGGAATTTTGTTAGTAGTAATTGGGGCTTAGGGATTTTTGCGAATTCATTTCTCACGCCTTAACATCCTTTTACCGGCGTTTTTCTCTTTCTTTGTTCCACCCCCTTGTTTCATTCCTTTTCACCGCTAGTTTGGGCCTAAGGATTTTCGGGAATCACTTCTCACGCCTTAGCATCTTCTCCGTGAAAGTGTTTGAAGTCAAGGATTATCCACTAAACCACCTTAGAGTGCCGATTCCTCGGGAGGATCGCATCAACTGCTTTTTGAACTCACCATGAACACTACAAATTT